AAAAAAAAAAAATCAATAGTATACAAATGTTTAAGTAAAAAGTAAGTTTTCCTAACCCAGATTCATGTCCATCAGGAGACCACATACAAATGCTGCCCCATATCATTAAAGCTTTTAAAGGGGGAAAAAAACCCCATTCCATCCAATGGAGTGAACGTTTCCAGTTCAAGTCTCAGTTCTGCCATTTTTTCTTTTTTGGTAGAGGGATAGAACTCGGGACCTTGTGCTTGAGAGGCAGGTGGCAGAACCACTGAGCTCAATCCTTGGCCCTTGCCATTTTTAATTTATTACTTTGTAACACCTGCGTCAGGGAGTAGTCCTGAGGATTCCCAGAGATGGACAACTTCCAAACTTTGTGACTGGCCAAACTATTTAATACTTGGATCATTCTCCTGTCAGTTGACAGTCTGGCTGTTTTCAATTTCATTACAAATTACAGCAAAGTTCTCACTGAGCACAGAGCTATGCATACTTAGGGTTTCTTCTTCCTGATAAAGAGACAGAGCCACTCCCTCTGGTGTGACCATTCTTAGGGCTCTTTATATGTTAAACTGCGTTCCAAAGGATTCTATTAATTTTATTGCTATCTGAACATTACATTAACTTTCACCCCAACTATATCTCATCCACATGGCTTTCTTCTCTTCAGCCAAGTCAGCAATTTGGCCTCTGTGCACCACTAAGTCCACCTCTCACTAAACACTAACTCTCAGGAAATACATGGTTGAAGGATGGCACATGATACCAACCACCATTTCACATTTTTGTATGGAGTTTCTGAACCAGCGAAGAATCCACCTAAAATTATTGGAAAAATGTTCTCTGCAGTAGACTGGCACTATGGAATTTCTGAATTGATGATTTTTACATTTTCAGGTAATTCATTTTAAAGTCACTAAATTGAATAATTTTATCCCCAAAAGTTAGTATAGTACTTGTCTTGGTTAGCTCCACTCACAAAATCTTACAAATTCTGTAATGTCAGAGAGGTACCTCATGATTATGGAATACACTACTGCTATGTGATAGGAAGTCTTCTAGAAACTTTTCTGGGGAAGCTTAAATGTTTAAAGTTTGGCTGCTTTAAAATCATACATCTACCTTCAGTCTATCAACAAATACAGTACACATGTAAGCAAATTATAAGCACAGGAAAAATTAAAGTTCTTTTTGCACATTGGCAACTCACCACAACACTATCTTCAGGTTGATGCCTTGGGGCTATGATAAGAGTTATAAGAAAAAACTAGAAGGTTAGCTCAAGTCCATCTCCTATCTCCTAGGTAGTACCTTTTTATATTAACCTATTTCTATAATCACCCTACGAGCCAGGCACTAATTATCCTCTTTATGCACAAAGGAGATGAGGCACAGGGACCAGCTATTAAAGGTCACTTGGCTGGCATGTGGGAAATCCCTAGCTGGAGCCCATACCCCTATCAATGTTTGTATCACCCCCATGGCTTTCCGCCAGCTACATGGCTGTTTATAACCAAAGACAAAAATTTTCAGGAAACAGCAAAAATATGCATTGTTTGTTCTTATGAGATTTCTCATCTGGGTGAACACTGACTTTCACTGTTCAACTGACTCTCTGAATCCTTTAATGGGGTGCTTAAGGTAGATTCCCTACTATTCTTTAACAGCTCCACAAATATATCTGCCTTATACACAATTCTACTGGAATATACTGTTGTGCATCAATGTTATCACTCAAGAAATTTTAAACTCTATTTGTATTGGCTTTTTTTTTTGGTGCCAGGGATTGAACTCGGGACCCTGTGCTTGCGAAGCAGGCAGTGGCACCACTGAGCTAAATCCCTGGCCCTGTATTGGCTTTTTAACACAAAAATTAGACATCCATTTACTCTTATTCATCATGGGATTTAGGGTAGTGTGAACCCTAAAGCAGCACTGTAACAAACCACATTCCAACAAAATGGAAAACGAGCTGAAAGGTACATAAAACAAGTCTTTTTCAAACTGCATGAAATTGGACCAGGGATTTAGCTCAGTGGTGCTGCTGCCTGCCTCGAAAGCACAAGGTCTTGAGTTTGACCCCCAGTACCAGCTAAAAAAAAACCCCCAAACTGCATAAAATCAACAGCTATACAAAAAACTTAATTTTTGAGACAAGATCTCGCTATGTAGTTTAGGCTGGCCATGAACTCACTACATAGTTCCAGGCTGGTTCGAAATAGCAGCATCCTCCTGCCTCAGCCTCCTGAGTGCTGGGATTACAGGTGTGCCACCACCACACCTGGAAGAAAACTTAAATTTTTTAAAATTGTAACTAACAAATAAGTTGTCCCATACTTATTCAATTCACATCTTGAAAACCTTTACATACCTTCAAGTATTATCTGTGAGTTTTCAGACTAATTTTCTTCATTAAGTATTTAGCTCAAAACTACCAGCATGAAGTGGTGCTTAGCACTGCAGAAGCACCAATTTGATATAACACATTCTAAGAGAAACAATATAATCAAGTCCAGCCTGAACATGTAAAACTTTTACTCACTTTAAAACAGCTGAGATATCCAAACAGGGCTTGTAACAAGACGAGGAAGATCCCCCATTATCTGCCATTGCTGCAGAGGGAGATTTTTAGAAAGTTATACTATTTGTACTAAAACCTTAAATTTCAAAAACTCCTGTTGAATTTCCCCCAAAAGGGCCTTCAGAATTATAAATTCATTATATTAAGAAGCTACGAATAGTCTTTTAATATATTTCATTTGCATTTTTAATAACTGTGACAGCATTAAAAGTTTATTAAAAAGGCAATCAAGCTGAGCAGGGTGGCACACACATGTAACCCTAGAACTTGGGAGAGGCTGAGGCAGGAGGGTTCCAAGTCTGAGCCAGCCTGGGCAACTCAGCAAGACCCAGCTTCAAAAAACAACAAAACTAGAGATGAAGCTCAGTGTGAAGGGTCTGGTCTCAGACTCCAGTATCACTACCAAAGAAAAGTAGTAACAAAGTTTCAAATATATAAAATATCAGAGAAAATACTAAAAATTGAGCCCAGTTAAATTGTCCTGATCTATGGATTCAATACCAAACAATGTGTCCACCAGTAGTGAATGAGTCATTCTGTAACTGACACAATGGAATCAGGAGAGAACAAGTCTCTATGCACTTAAATGAATAGATGTGAAACTTGCTTCCTGGCTAAAAGCTTCTTGCTGAACTCACTTAGCCATGAAGAGCCAAAGGCCCATCCTCACAAGACAGTCTCTCCAAGCCATCCTCACAGCAAGGACAGAAGCAGCTTCTGAACACCATCTGATGCTTGGCTGACCAGTGAAAGATTCCAGAATTACAGCCCAAATTATTTCTCAGTCAATACAGTGGTGATGTGCTTTTAGTGATTATTCACTAAATTTCAGCAACATCTGCCCATGTCCCCTCTGGCTTTCACAATGCAAAAATGACTCTCTGGGCTGGGGATTTAGCTCACTGGTTCCACCGCCTGCCTCACAAGCGCAAGGACCCAGGTTTGATCCCTGGTACCAAAAAAAAAAAAAAAAAAAAAAAAAAAAGTTAACTCTCTGATCCTGCCTCATTCATTATCTTTGGACCCTGGTTGACAATAGCCCCAGGATGTGAGAGAATTGCTGAATTTCCCAGGCACCTTCTCAAGTCCCCACTTGAGAAGTCTTGGAGTCTAAGAGGAAAAGGCTGGGAAATGGTTAATAATCAAAGCACTTTTTTCTGAACCAGATCTCCACTGAGCTGTTCTTTAAATTGAGGTCCGGGGTCAAGTCACACCAGAATTCACTGGGAAGGTTCTTTAAAAACTATTTCTGGGCCTCTCACCCAAACTGACAGCATCTGAATCTCAGAGATGCATTTCAGAAGCATTCTAAGATATGTTTTGATTGAAATATAGGAATAGTCCCAAACTTGCTGTCTCTCCTAACTAGGTTACCAAAAATTAACCTAATGGCAGGTCAGACAGTGTTCCATGCTACATATTAAAACATATCCTTGGGCCAGGGATTTAGCTCAGCCGCACCACGCCTGCCTTGCAAGTGCAAGGTCCTGAGTTTGATCACCCATACGAAGAAACCCTCCACTACTAAAACCTATCCTTATATCTGTCACTATTCACTCCAGGGAATTATATTAACCCAGCTTACATTAGCAGCTGTGAGAGAAAAAAATAGATTCAGAGCTTCTACTACTTTTATTCCTTGTTTCAATGAGTAACTCTTTATTTATGGAATATTAATGTTAAATATTTTATTAACCCTTTATTATCTGTTTTTTGCCTATTGCTACAATTGCAAAAACCAAATAAAACTTATCCTAAACCTGATATAAGGATTTTTGTGGGAGTGTTACTAAGGACTGAAGCTAAATGTGCTCTGTCACTGCTCTTTATTTTACCCCAGCTCTTTGAGACAGGGTCTTCCTAAATTTCAAGGGTGGTCTGGGATTTCTTTTTTCTTCCCTTTTTTTTTTTTTTTTTTGTACTGGGGATTGGATTGAACCCAGGACCTTTGTACTGAGCTACATAATCAACTCTTTATATATATAAATATATTTTTAAAATTTTCAGGCAGCATCTAAGTTGCTAAATTGCCCAAGTGATCCTCCTGCTCCAGTCTCTCAAAGTGCTGGAATAACATCACTCCCAGCTCGGTTTCAAACTTTTGATCCTCTTGGCCAAGCCTCCCAAGATCTTGGGCTTAGAAGTTTGCCTCTAGGGCCGGGGATTTAGCTCAGTGGCACCGCGCCTGCCTTGCAAGCACAAGGTCCTGAGTTCAATCCCCAGTACCAAAAAAAAAAAGTTTGCCTCTGTATCGTCTGTCAAAAGGCAAAAGGATAAAACTGCTGGTCAGACACCAATGCCCTACAACTGCACTTTTTATTGTCAGCAAACAAATGCCACAGATCACCCAGTGAACTAATATGAAAAATTAGAAAAGCTAGCTCTAACCAAATATAATTCTATTGTCTCCTAACACTGTTTGAATCATTCCAAGCTATAAATCAAATGGCTCACAAAGGACATGGAAGGATAAAGAAAAAAACACCAAAGAGAAAAACAAGGTTTACCGTGGTATTAATGCAAAGTCTAAAACTATGTATGTATTGAGACAGGGTCTCATTATGTAGCCCAGGCTGGCCTCCAACTTGCAGGAATCCTCCCGCCTCAGCCTCCCAAGTGTTGGGATTACGGGCATGCGCCACCATGGCTGGCCAAGTTCTGCTGTTTATTTATTATTATTATTATTATTATTATTATTATTTTGGTTTTGTCTTTGTTTTTTTGAGAGGGTTTCATTGTGTAGTTTAGGGTGGCCTTGAATTCACTAAGTATCCTAGGCTGGCCTCGAACTTGCAGGAATCCTCCTCCAATTACAAGTGTGCACCACTACCCCCAGCTGCAGCTCTGATTTTTAAACACAATAAACAAGGTACCAAAAAAAAATATCCTTTTAAACTACGCTAAACTACCCGCAACAAAGCTGGCAAATATGTCTTGTTCACTGCACTATACAGTAAAACTTTTTAAAACTACACTGACAATATTAACATTAACTTATTTTGGGAAGGGGGGAAAGTGTGAATCTCTCTAAAAATAGAGAAACTATGGACACTTCTATGAACGGACGAAAGTTATCCCGCACAACTCAAGGGCGCACATCTTCACTTTGCCAAAGCAAGACTCCTAAGAATCCTGTTTTTCTCTGTGGCAGAATGGGTCTACACGTTAGAACTACCCCATTAGTAAAAACGAATATAGGACGCAGGTTTTAGTCTCACGTTCAACAACCTGCGCTGCCCGCTGACACGGGGAAGCAAATTCCTGCACAGCCCAATGGTCAGGCAGGCAGTGGACGTTACCTTTTCGGCTATGCTGTACAGAACCTCGTCCATCTTCATGCAGGTAGGATCCCAGTCGTGTCCGAACCGAATGACCACAACTCGGTCCTCCTCCGAGAGGATGGCCTGATCCACCTGCCAGCCGTTGTGGAGGTGGGGGAGCATGTACGACATCCTGGCGGGGGCCGGCTCTGCGGCAGGACGCCGCGCAAGAGTTGCCTGCGGGCGCGGGAAAGGACTCTGAGACCGCTACCAAGCGCCCCGGGGCTGTCCCCGCTCAGGATCCCGAAACCTCATCCTGTGTCCTCAAGGACCCCTTCTCACCCAGCCCCTACCTCGTCCCGAGTCGCCCAGTCCCCCTCACACCCGCACCCCTCCACAACACCAGCGCCTCCCGCTGAGCGGAACTTCCGGGCGTGTACGCCTGCGCATGCAAGGACGCCACCAGGCGCGCGGCGCCACCAAGCGCATTCTGCGCATGTGTGCGCCCTGACGTTTTCTGTGCGCGTCAGCTGCTGGTGCATATTTCCGTGAAGCCTGGAGTGTTCTCTCTCAGTTTATGGTCCTTCGCCCTTATCTGTGTTTCCAACCGTGTATACCTGTGTGTCACTCCTCTCGGTACTGCATGCTGAGTCGCCGTGGCACGGCAGACACCACCACCCTCCCCGCCCCGGGCAGCGTGTTGACGGGGCATCATGCTGCACTTGGCAGGCACAAAGGAGGCCTTCGCGCGCCTGGTCCGGAGCCGATTTGAGCCCGCGGACCCTGCACGACTAGGCTTTCAGACTACTGTCCTCAGCCGCTCAGTGGCAAGAGCGCTACACTTTTAAGTTTTTATTTTTGTTTACATTTTTATTGTGGTAAACTAAGTAACGAAGATTCTTTGCTTGGCCAGACTTAAGCCAGACTCCTAGGCCGATTGAACACGCCTGCATATAAAAAAACCAAAATTTGGATATTACATTAAGCAGTCTAGCCCCTACTGCAACGCCGTGTTGCAGTGGGCCTATGGAAATGGTCCTGGAATCTTCTTTACCGTGCTTTAACAAATACAATTAAAATTTTTTTTATCACTTCAGCCATTTTTAGTGTGTAAGTTCAAAGGCATTAAGTACATTCACTTCTGCAACCATCACCACTGTTCAGCTCCAGATACATCTTATTAAAAAAAAAAACCACTGTTGAGATGTACAGTAGCTTACTTTCCTGTCGCTGAGACATAATACCTGATACCCACAGATTAAAGGAGGACAGGTTTATTTTGGCTCACTTTTTGTTTTTGTTTTTTTTTTTAGATTCAGTCTATAGGTCTAACTTAGGAGGAAGGGTATGGTGGAGTGGAAAGGTCTGAGGGTCTGACGAGAAAAGCTGTAGGCATCTGGGATCTGGAAGCAAAGAGAAAGGAGGAACCAGGGAGGGAGGTTCATGCCTCCAGACTATTCTCGCACCAGCTTGCCTCTTGGCCCCAGACCCCATCTAACAGCATTTTCAGATCTGACCTCTTCAGTTGATTAATCCACTGAGGAGTACAGCACCCCTTATAGCCAATCTTCTGAAAGCGCATCCTCAGAACACACGGTGCCTTTTGGGGGGCATTCTATATGTAAACCATAACAAGATATAGTCTACATATTATAAAATTCACCCTTTTAAGGTGAGATGGCTTTTCAGAGAGCCATGGAAACAATACTACAAACTAATTTTAGAAGACTTTATATCTCCAGAAAGAAATCCTGAACTTAACAGCAATCATTTCCCATTTCTCTCCCATTCCTCTGCCTCCGGGAACCACTCATTTATAGTCTGCCTCTATAGATTGGCTTGTTCTTTTTTTTTTTTTTTTTTTTTTTTTGTGGTACTGGGGATCGAACTCAGGTCCTTGCGCTTGCGCAGAAGGCAGCGAAACCACTGAGCTCAATCCCCAGCCCAGATTGGTTTATTCTTGACATTTCATATACTCAGAAACATTGGCACAATATTTTGGAACTTCTTGCATTTAGCACGATGTTCTTAAGCTTCATGGAGGGCCTCAGTACTTCCTTTTTTTAGTACTTTCTTTTTACTGACCATAGTCCAAGATCAAGATACACTACATTTTAGTTATACATCATTTGGTTGACATTTAGGTTATTTTCAATATTTTGCCATTATGAATAATGCTGTTGTAAATGTTCATGTACAAGTTTTTGTGTGGATTTAACATCTTTCTTGGTTATGTACTTAGTGGAATGACTAAGTCATGATAATTATGTTTAACATTTTGAGAAATTGTCAAGCTATTTTCCAAAACATCCGCACTATTTTATATTCTCACAGCAACATGTGAGGGTTTCAATTTCTCCAATCGCCACTCACACTTGTTATTTGTGTATTTTTTATTAGCCATCCTGATAGGTGTGAAATGATGACTTCTTGTAGTTTCTCTAATGGTTAGTGATGTAGAGCATTTTTTTCCTGAGATTATTGGCCATTTGGAGAAATGTCTATTTATATCTTTTACTCATTTTTAAAATTAGGTATTCTATTATTGTGTTAGAATTCTTGGGATGTTCTGCATAGAATCCCTTATTTTGAAAGTATCTTTTTCTATTCTGATTGTCTTTTCACTTTTTAGTGGTATATATCAGCACAAAAGTTTTAAATTTTTATTAAGTCTGGTTTATCTTTTCTCTTGTTGCTTATGCTTTTGATATTATATTGAAAGACCATTGAGTAATTCAAGGTCATGAATATTTGCCCTTATTTTCTTATAAGAGCTTACAATGTTAATTCTTGCATTTAAGTCTGTAATTTATTTTGAGTTAATTTATGTGTATGAAATAAGGTAGGTGTCTGCCTTTGTTCTTTTGCATGTCGATATTCAAACACCATTTGTTGGACAGATTATCCTTTCCCCACTGTATAGTCTTGATACCCTTATTGAAAATGAGTGACTTTAAATATAAGAATTTATTTCTGTTCTCAGTTCTATTCCATTGATCTATGTCTAACCCTGTGTCAGTGCCTGTGTCTTGATTAGTGAAATTCTGTGGTTTAAGTCTTGAAGTCAGGAAGTGTGTTCCCTTCTACCTTATTCTTTTTCAAGACTGACTTCTTATCCTGGGTCCCTTGCATTTCCATATGAACTTCTGGACCAGCTTGTCAACTTATGAGAAAAGAAAAGGACAACTGGAATTTTGATAGGGGTTGTGTCGAATTTGTGTACTGGTTTATGTTGTATTGTTATCTTTGTGTATGTATGTGGGGGTATGTTACTGGGAATTGAATCCATGGCCTTTGCACTGAGGTATATCCATAGCCCTTTTTTTATTTTTTGAGACAAGTTTCCCAGGCAGGGATTAAATTTCCTATCCTTTTGCCTCAGCCTCCCAGAGTACTGAGATTATGGGCATGTGCCACCACAGTGGCCTGTATTGCATTTTAACAACACTTCTCTCAATCCATGAAAATGAGTTTTCTTTCCATTTATTTATGTTCTCTTTAATTTCTACAACGCTTTATAGTTTCATTGTTAATCTCATATTTTTGTTAAATCTAGTCCTGAATATTTTATTTAATGCTATTTAAATGGCATTTAAATTTTTCATTTTCATATTATTCATAACTAGTGTATAAAATACAATTTTTTTTTGGCTTTTTGAGACGGTTTCACTATGCAGTTCAGGCTGACCTTGAACTCACTATGTAGTCCAGGCTGGCCTCGAACTCATGGCAATCCTCCTGCTTTAGCCTCCTAAGTGTTGGGATTACAAGTGTGAGCCACTACATCATGTTACAGTTGATTTTTGTATACTATTTTTTGTATACTGCTTTTGCATTTTACTACCTTGGTGAATCATTTATTACTTTTAATAATTCTTTGTTGATTCCTTTGGATTTTTTATGTATAAGAGCATGTCATCTGCACATAGGGATACTTTTACGTCTTCCTTTCCGATATAGATGTCCTTCTTTTTCTTGCCTAACTGCCTTGACTAAAATATCCAGTACAGTACTGAATAGAAGTGACAAGAGCAGACATTTTGTGTTGTTTCTGAGCTTGAGAAGAAAGAACATTGTCTTTAACCCATTGATGTAGCTTTGAATTTTTCATAGACATCATTTATTTAAACATGGATAATTCTTACCGTGGTGTTGTGTTTATAGTTGAATGAAAGGAAGGGAGCGGGTCCCTCAACTTCCATGCTTCTAACTGTACTAGCTTCTCAAAAGATGTATTTTAATTGAGACCTGCAGGACAAGACTCAACCAGGGAACAGTTGGGGAGAAAGCTCCAGGCAGCCTGGGAACAAGACTAGGGAAAGGCACCTGGCAGCCTCAGACAACTGAAAATACGCAAACTGGAATGATGGGAGCATGAAAGGATTTGTAACAGGTTTGCAGATTAGACAGTGGGGGCCTCTGAAGCTGTGCTCAGGCCTTCACACTTCATAAGAGCAGAGGGGAGCTACTGAGGGGTCTTAATCACGGGACTGACATCTATTTATGTATTTTTCACAGTCACTGGGGCTGCTGTGTACAAGAGATGGGTGCTGCCGCGGGGGTGGGTGCAGTGAGGGAGGGTACGTCGAACCTTTACTTGCTCTGTTCCCACTCCTGTGGCCCGCCCCCAGCCGGGCCCGCGCCCGGCTCCATTCCTATCCAGAGCAGAGGCCAGGCTGGGAACTGTCCCCAGGGCACGTGGGCCCCAGCCAGCCCTCGGTCCCTCTCCGGCCAGTGTTTGGTCAAGCCCCGCTCTTCCTAGGCTTCAACCCTCAGGTTCTGCTAGGCTGCCCCGTGCGCTTACTACACGCGCCTCCGGGAAGAGGGGGAGGGTCTTGTGGGCGGAGTCTGTCGTGGGCAGGGCCAGCGGACCTCTGGGGTCCAGCTTTTGGCGCTCTCTCTCTCTCTCTCTCTCTCTCTCTCTCTC